GATGTGAAATGTCAAAAACAATAATAAAATTCTTGTGGATATTGCTTTCAGGCATCAAGCTTAACTTTATCAAAGAAAAACTCTTAAAAAATTTGACAGTCATAATTTTTTACTTGGTCCAATTTTTTACATTTCAGATGTTTTTGTTTGGATATCAATTGTTTCTTAATTAATGAAAGCTTGAATGTGTTTTTAATCTCAAGAAATCATAAGCTGTTATATTTAAGCTTTTCTAAGAATAAGTATGTACAAATATTTTGCATTTGTGTAGCCATTTACTTTTTTTGTACTATAGTATCATTACACAATATCCATTTGTTATTTTGTTTGACAAGCAAGTGTAATGGCCACTTTGCAGTTTATAACCATGATGAAATATTGCAGATAAAAGTTTGTAATTTCAATTGTCTCTTACATTGCTACAGTTTGGGACTTCTTTATTGTCCCTTCAAATTTGATTAATTTTTCATGTTCATTCCTAAGCTTAACACATATTTTGAATAATAACTCATTAGCAGTTAGCATTTCAGATTTTGTAAACACATTTTGTGTTTTACATATACTGTATGGTTGAACTGAAAGTTTGTTTTGGGTATTTACATAATTGCTTGTTTGTGTCACCTCTTGTGCTTATCAAATTTCAACATGTTTAGATGGGCATCACAAATATTTGCATATTCAATACATAAGTTTAGTTAGTTATTTTTTAAAATTCTGTTATTGTTTAAGGGGAAGAAAAAACATTAAAATGGAATATAAGAAGGTGCATTTTGCTATTATTTCTGAAAAGGAAAAAATGTGACAAAAACTCAAAAGAAGATACGTGCTGTATATGGGAGGATACTGATCAAACATGCTAGAAATGGTTTTTGAGTTTAGGGCAGGAGATTTTTCTCTCAAAGATGCTCCTTGGTCAGGACAGCCTCCAACCATAGAAGGTGAGTTCATAATGGCTTTAATCCAAAATGATTGGCATAGAACAACATGAGAGGTAGCTGATGCCTTAAAAATATCCCAAACATATTTGTCAGACATTTGGCTTGTCTTGGATACACTTCTAATTATGATGTTTGTATTCCCCATCTGTTAAGTGAATGAAACCTTACTGAGCATGTTTCTGTTTGTGATTCACTTTTAAAATGCAATGAAGATAAATCATTTTTAAAGTGTTAATAACAGGCAATAAAAAATGGATTGTTTATAATAATAATCAACACATTAACAATATTCAAGATCTTGGAGAAAGCCAGGTGATCCTTTAGTGCCATAACCTAAAACTTGTTTGCATCCCAGAAAAATAATGATTTTACTTTGGTGGGATTGGAAAGGGGTTCTTTATTACAAGCTTATACCCAACAATCAAACAATTCCAATAAATATTGTTTCTAACTGGATGAACTAAAGGTTGCAGTGCATTAAAAACGCCTGGAACTTGAAAATTGATGGAGAGTGGTATTCCATCGTGATAATGAAAGATTGCACATATTAAATGTGTGCCAGAAAACTTCTAGACTTCAACTGGGATGTTTTGAGACACCTTGACTTTTCTCCGGTTATTGCTCCCTCAGATTATCATCTTTTTTGTTTGTTGCAGAATAATTTAAATGGCAGAATTTCAATCTTTAGAAGATATCAAAAATTACATTGATAATTTCTTCAATTAGAAACTTACCCAGTTCTACACAGACGGAATTATGAAACTACCCATCAGATGGCATAAGGTTATTGAACCAAAAGAATGAATTGAATATATTGTAGATTAAAGGTTTTTATTTATTCCAAAATAGTACATTTTATTTCTCTAAAAATTAAACTTTCAGTTCAGCCCTATACAATGTGCATCATTCACTAATTGCCATTGAGATAATGTTTTTATCATGCAACTTATTGTTACAATTTTATTTAATGTTGAAAGTAAAAGCAAATTTTGTTGTTCATGTGAATCATAAGAGCAACTGTAACATATCAAGACCTAAGAAAATGACATACAGTTTGTGCTTAGTGATGGCTGTCAACCAAATGCTCTCATTACTGTTAATAAAATTGCTATAAAATATTTTAATTTGCATAAATTTGAGCTTTTGTTATTCTGGAAAACATTTTGAATAATAGTCATTCATTTCATTGCAATTTTATTCTTGTAAGTAAAAAATTAAATGATTAAAGTAAAATAGCTCTATGGGAAAACCCCTGTGAACTTTGTTTTATTGATCTAGAAGTTTTGTGAGCATCTCATTGACATTGAGGAAATTTAAAATTTGAGCTTTCTAGATCAAGTAGTTCTTCTCTAGAAGTCTCTGCAGTGATGGAGAAAAAAGAATAAAATACAGCTTTTTTTGACAACTTTTTGCATTTTTCAATTGCTTATATTTTGGCAATTCCTTTATAGAAAAATCTAAACTTTTGTACACTATCTGATAAAACAATTGTCTTTCAAATGAGATACTCAGAATTAATTCAGTCATTTGGGGACAGAGAAATCAATTCTGATTGGCAACTCTGATTCCCATATAAGTTATGTAGTCAGACAGTGATTTTTTTTAACTGGTGCAGAATCATTGCTGTGACTTGATCTGGAACAGAAACGAAGACTAGATAAAGATCTGGGTACCATAATTGGCAAAACATTTGCATGATAAGTGGGAATTGCATATTTGAATTCTGTTCCAGATAATTTTTTTCTTCTTCCAGAATGTTGCAAAATTAATTAACTAAATTCTGATTACAGTCAAATTCTATTAATACAAAGTTAAAGGGACTTAAAACTTGCACTTTGTATTTGTGAGGTTTGTATTAAGCAAACTTTACAAAAAAAATCACCAGTCTTATCATCAAATGAGAATAGTCAAATTTTCTCCAATTATTTCACTATGATGGTTTATTTTTACATTTAGATTCTCTAAATATGCTAAAAAGAATAGACTTTTGTGTAGCTTTAAACACACACTTTATTGAGATTTAGTGGCTTGAAGAAAGAAATTACTGTATATATATTTCTATGAACATTTCTACTGTGGCTTAACATGTGGATTATAAGAGAAGATTCCAAATGCTGAATGAAAACACACTTTGAATCCAGCCAAATGTTTTAATAATGTTTTTCATCCAAGTTGATGGATCTATTTCAATTAGAATATAAATAAATTAATCAAATTGAATGTGTAAGCATTCAAAAACAATGTATAAATTTAAATACAATGGTAAACAATAAGAAAATAACATAAATAATAACAAAATAATGCAAAAAAAAATAAATTAAAAATAATAAAATACAATAAAATAAAGAATATAAACATTACAGTAACTTATACTTCAAACATAGACAACCAAGCAAATGAGTGTCCACATCCTTGTAATATACAATGATGTTTATTGTGGGCTTTGTGAAAAATCTTTAAATATCTGATCATTTATATTCTTGGTTATTTAAAGACTTCCTGGATGGTCTAATTACTTTGGCCTCTTCCCATTTAACTTGTACCTGCAGCAGATTTGTGTAAGATGTCAGGATCATACTGTCCAATTCTTTGTTGTCTGGATATTGATGTTTTTTAATTCTTTGTTTGAGGTTACATATAGTGGCCCCTAGTAGACAAGCCTTTCATCAAACTGCTAGTCTTCTAGTGGGATAGTATAAACTCTTGAGGTGCTGGAATGGTCCATGATCTTACCATTTTGGAGAATGTTAAAAATCATGGGAAGTCCTTGATACCCAATAATTTATTGGGTTTCACCCATACCAAAGAAAGCCAGTTAAGAATGCTGACTAAAAAATCTTTGGAAAAAAATTATATTGAAAAATCATTGCTCTAAAAGTTTAATAATAATGTTATGAATTAATTGTACACTAGTAAACTTAAGCCAACGGGGAAAAAATTCATATAATAGTCTTTTTTTGTGTGTGTTTTTGATTATGTGACTTTTTTAAACAAAAGATTTTTATTAAAACATGATTGAGAGTATGATTATATATTTTTGCATGTATTAGATGATTGAATTAATGTACAACAAACTCATGCTTTACAACTATCTTTATAATTCCTTCTTTTATGACAGATATAAATTCTCTACTTTTTTATTAAATACCATATCTAAATATTTGTATAGTTTAATTTAAAGTTTACTTCCTGAAACCTCAAATTTATAAAACTTCATAGGAAATTCTAAATTGATGTATATTTTATTTAATTAATGATGGTTTTCTGGATATCAATTAATTTATAAAGACTAGAGTTCGTTACATGTAATTTATATGGCAGAATTTTAATTTTTAAACTTAATTTTATATTCAAGATATTCTGTTAATATTTCTCTCTATAATAATTTTTGTTCATAATACTCTTAATAATAATTTTATAACATCATACTTGTAAGTCATGAATGTTTTGTTTAAAGCATGTTTTTTAAACAAAAGAGAGAACTTCAGTTAAGTAGAATTTCAATGAAAATGTTTTATATGAGTTAATACAGTCGAAATAGCAAACATGAAAAAGCCATTCTTCAAGTGTTTTTAGATATAACCTCATTATTGGGAAAGTAGTCATATCACTCTTCAGGCTTAAAAATTAATTAATTAAATTTTTTATTTTCTCTCCTCATTTTATATCATGCATTAATTTTGAGATTTTTTTTTTAAATCTCAAGCAATGGTGTTCCACAATCTTATTCAATAGAAGACCGTTTTCCTGATGATAAGGTTATACCTGAAAACATTCCAAGGATGGCTTGTTTTTTGTTTCTTATTTCAGCTGTATTATTGCCATTTGGAGTAGAAGATCTATACCAAAATCACTTAGTTGGTTTATGAACTGAAAAAAAGTGACAGAATGTATTAATGCCAATGTTTGTTGAAATTTCTTTAAAATTTATTATTCTATAGTTCTATCAAAATATTTAAAACTTTTCTTTATTAACTAATTTGTAATAATTTCAAAGATTTGTTTTTAATGATCATATTTTAAAGGATTTGTTTTCTTACTCTATTTCTTTTTTTTATATAGCATTGTCAGTTCAGGACGATTCCCACCAGTCAATCAGTGGAACTCAACCTGTGGACACTACTACATCATATACTATTAGTTCAGAACAAAACCAGAATCTGGCACGTATTTTGGCCACCCAAAGTCATCAAACATCTGAAATATCAGTTAGTGGAATTTCAACACCAGATCAGATCAGTTCATTAGAAAACACTTCTGGATTAAATACTGCAATTCAGTTACAGAAAGTGTCCTGTAGTGGTTGTACTGTTTTAACAGTTCCAATTGTTTCAGCAACAATGTCTCAGAGAAATATTGTTGCAGATGGAAGACAAGGTAATGTAGTAACTCATCTTTCTTCATCCTCCATTTCATCAAGTCAAGATTCACAACAGACAATGTTGGATACAGTAATGTCAACTGATGTTTTACATACAGATGTGACTAAAGTTCATTCATATAGTCTTGCTAGTGCAACACCAACATTATCCACTTGTACAGGTAATGTATATCATCCAGTAGGTATGCAAGTGTCTAGTGGAATTCTTTCAGTTCCTGCTAGTCCTGTTCGACAAAATGAACATTTAACTTTAATAAGTCAGTCAGGTATCACACAAAATCGAACAGTAGGAGCTATTGTAGATATGGACCAAAATATTTCTCCCAGTAATATATCTGGGATTGTACAAACCACTGTAAATAATTTAAATGTTTCACTTAATAATTCAGTTATTTCAACAAGTAATTTGAATATGTCACTGGTATCTAGTGATTCAAGCCCAGTAAATAGTCCTCGACCAAAAAGAATTAAATTGGAAGAAAAACCTCCAGCAGATGAAGAGACTGCTTCTATGAGGAAAAAGATCTGTGATTATAGAAACAATGAAATAAAAAGTAATAAAGAAAAATATCAGGAACATTTAGCAGAATTATTTTTCCTTCAAAGTGGTGGAAATATAATGGATTATTTATCATGGAGAAGGCGTCCAGTGCAGCAGTTTCTTGCATTCCTCAAAACAAATGCATTGGAAAGTGATGGAGAAGAAGAAAGTTCTGATACTGATAATAAAACAACAATAACAACAACAGCAATTCCAACAGTGCTTTCCAGTTGTACTCCGTCTATTACTACTACATCAGTAAAACAAGGTATTGTGTTCCTAATATAAAATTTAAATAACATTTACTTTTATATATATGGATTTTGAAATAAATTCATAACTAATAAGTCCAACTGGAAATTGAAAATACCACTTTTTTTTATATTTTAAATGGTAATACAGTAAAACCTGTATAATCCAGAATCATACAATACTAAATTATTTTTCTGTTTTGAATAAGGTTTAGTACAGGTAACCCCCGTATAACACGGCACTTCTATAGCACGGATTCGCTCTAACACGGTTCGAGAATTGGTACCATCCCCCGTATAACACGGCACTTCTATAGCACGGATTCACNATTATATAATGTATAATTATATGTACAGTACCTAATTTATATATAATACTGTACAGACGATAGTAATCTCTCCGTAGCGTGGCGCTACGGACAGCGGGAAAGTAGTTTGGCTCCCCGATGACGTTTTACGTAATTATAGGAGTTTTTTACCGGTTTTTACAGATACCGTTGCAATTTTTTCACAGTTTTATAGGAATCGTAATTATAGGGGGGTCTACTGTATATCTATTATGTAAAAACAAAATTGGGTGCATTTTTATTTTGACTCACTTGTGGTGTACACAGTTTTCTGAACTCTTTTAAGTTCCTTTTGTTTTTGTATATTATTTTTTTTTGAATGTTGGTTTGCATCTTTAAAATTTCTGAGTGTTGTTTTACTGTGGAACAACAACAATCAAAATCCCCAATGGTTTTTCACCTTTTTTGTCTTATTTGGAATGATGCCTAAAGTTGGTCTTAAAGAGGCTGAAGACATTGCATTTTTATCAGTTTGTTGAAGTTATAAGATTAATGTGATCCATTGAACTTATTTACTTAACACTTTTAGACTTCTTAGGTCATCTTCAGAGGTAAAAAGTGAGTCAGAATTACAAAATATTTTCATTGGAATAATATAGTAGTAGGATATTTTTTTCATTGGTATAAAAGCCAAACCAAAGAAAGTAATGTAAACAAAATTGAAGTAAACAGTTTTATTTTTAGGGATCTTCTAAGTTTTTTTATGAATACTTTAAAACAATAGAATACAGAGTAGTATTGTTAATTTAAATTCTGTTTAATGAAAGAATGAAAAATGTAAAAATAATGAAAATCTAGCTGTTTTATTATCATTAATATTTAAAAAAAATTACATTCTTATAATAAAAATTTCAAGATCAAATCATCAAATGCATTTTCAGCATATAAAAATTATAAGTGCCATAAAAGATTTTTACTGTTCTGTAATTATTTTCCATTAAATAGAAATTTAAATGATATTCAGAAGTTTTCAAATTTAATTACAGTGGTACCTCAGGATACGAAATTAATTCATTCCGACACAGATCGTAACATGAAAATGTCGTAAGGTGAATAATTTTTCCCCATATGATTACATGTAAAACCAAATAATTTGTTCCAACATGAAAAACACACTCAAATTAAAGCTAAGTAATACATTTAAAAAAAAATAACTATAGTAAGGAAAACACTGAAAAATTCATTTCGCAGTTGTAAATGTATAAATAATTGTAATAGAATAATAATTGATAAAAAAAAAATGTAGATTTATTTGCACTTTACCTTTGAGGATAGATGACGGTGGAGGTGTAAATTGGTGGCGGAAGAGAGGGAAAAGGGAAATGATACTAAAACTTATCTTACATAACATAATGTAACAATAACTTAAAAATAACTTAGAAAAGATTAAAANATGACGAAGAAAACATTGTTTAATTTATATTAATATGTATCACTTAAAAAAATTTTAATGAAGATATTTATCTTAATTATGAAAATATACTAGCATGTTTTTTTAATTTTTGGAACCTAACCCTCCTTTTCGTATTAGTTCTTTGTTTCGTATAACACGGCAATTTTTTGGAACGTAACTACCATGTTATACGGGGGTTACCTGTATTTCTTTTTAAAATCTTTAAAACCAAAACACTGGTATTTGTTGTGGGTTCATGCCTTGCCAACAGGCTGGCCAAGTAGAGTTTGTCAGGTTTTCTTCACATTTGTAACATTTAAATAGGGGGAGGGAGGACTTTCAATGGTCTTCTACAACATTTCCCTTGGTAAATCACCCAGGAGTTGCATTGCCATAAAAACTAATCTAATCCTGTATTGGGCAGTATTCACTATCTATCAATACTTCCATCTGTAGAGTTAGTTAGAAATTATAGTCTGTTTACTCTAACCTAGTTCATGGCTAGGAGAAGAGATTATTCAGTTGCCTTTTCTCTCTGCCAGGCAAAATATATTCTTCTGCAGTTTCCAATTCTTGTAATGTGACAAGTTGAAAACTTACTGAAAATAAGTAAACATTGAAGAAGTGTTATGTTAAAAGATTAAAATATTTATTCACCTGAACAATTAATTAAATTTGTGTAATAGATTTTCCACTAAATCCTTCATTTGTATTGCTAACATTGACCATATTAACTGTGGAGCATATTGCTATTTAACCAATCATTGAAAAATAGTTAATTAAAATACAAAAACGTTAAATGTATACATCCTTTTCTCTATTTGTAAGTTTTATTCCTTTAAATTACTACCACTGATGATTAAATAATTTTGAAACATATCATTATTTCTTATGAATTTAAAGTTTTGGAAGGAACTTTTCTTGCCAAAGAAGTGCTCAAGGTTAGACTAAATGGACTTGTATTTTTCATAAATTTTAATAGCTGATGGTTATATATTATATTCTATAAGCTTGTTTTATAATATTCATATCAGCTGTTCAAATTAGGGTTATGGTGGCATGCAAAGATATCAATTTGAGTGACTGGGATATACAGTAGAGAGTTGTTTATCCGAATCAATTGGGGACTGGGGTTGTTTGGATAACTTATTTTTTGGATAACTGATTATGTACGAAAAAATATATTAATCTATCCCATGCTGAAATTTTTCTCCATTATGTGTCGCTTCATGTTGAATTTTCATTGATGTTAAGCCTAATGTAAACTTTTTAAAATAATAATTGTGGCTATTGTATTGTTAAAAATTATTTCTTTATTTTGTACAAACAAAACAAGTACAGTCGACCCCCTATAACATGGTAGATACGTTCCGGTTTTTATGAATCCATTTTCTATGAGTCCAGCCAATCGCAGCCCGGCATATATGCAGTTTACGAACTATGGCTGTTTGAAAGGTTTCTTCCATAAAATTAATCGATTCTAGACTAATTCGACTCAACATTTCCAAAATATGTATAATTTTTTGGGAATAATCCATATAAACTATGCTATAAACAAAAAATGGCACTCACCTGCTTCCTGATAAATTATTTTTTTTGCAAAAAATTTGCTGAACTTTGGAGACATCATTAATATAAATATAATTTTTATGGACGTTAAATAAAAATTGGTTTTTAGTAGGTCTGCTGCTTGTTTAAACTCAAACGGTTTGTACAATATCCGCTGTTGATCTACATTCGACCAATCACGAGTCGGTGATGACATTTTACCGAATTATACGAGTTTTTTTAGCATGTTTGCATAAATACTGTCGCAATTTTTTCACTGTGATATAGGAATCCGAACTATAGGAACCCATGTTATAGGGGGTCAACTGTATATGCTTAATATCATACGTAACATTACTGTGTTCATAGGAAAAGTGCTCTCAAATAAAAGCATTTTTCAAGTTATTTGTGTTTGATTTTTTTTAACAATTTAAATTGGACCTGGATCAGAAAATACAAAAAAAAAAACTGCAAAGGGTTAATCTTCAGTTTACCAGTGACTCCATCATCTTCCAGAGATATTTTTAAAAAAAATGTAATGTTTATGAAAAAAATATATCTTGTCTTATAATTCATAATTTTTAATAAACGAGGCTCATTTTAAAGATAATAAAATATTTTATAAAACAACATAATTTTTTTGAACAACATGTAATTCAAAGTAAAAAATTCATACAAAATAAAAAACTTTAAAATTTTTTGTGTGTGTGAAACATTTCAAAGCATGGAATTAAACAACAGAGTCCTTTATTCCATTCTTTTTATTAGCAATAGTTGACAGTACGTCTTTTTGTTATACTCTACTGTACACTTTGTCTATTTTACTGCCTGTTTTTCTGTTGTATTGGTTTTTTTCATTATGTCTGGATGGATATTAGTCAACATTAAAACATGTTTGTCATGTCATTTTACAGTTAAAATGCTTTTGCAAGAATATGATTCTTTTTCACCTGCTTTCAATCTTTTTTGTGGATTTCAGCATTTATTTCCTGTTTGCATTTATAGTACTGCAACAACCTGTAACTTTTTCATTCAAAAATTTGTTAAAGTTTGGACTTGTAGACTGGTTGTCTACAAAAAACAGTATAATGTTTGCCTAAAAATTGTTCAAGTAAACAAAGCTTGACATCCCAAGTTAATCAATTATTTCAATGTCAGTGGTAGAATATGTATAAACAACGAAATTTAGTATATATAGCCTATTATGCAGTCACAAAGAACAAAAAACTTCATAGGAAATCTATGATGTTTTGCTATTTTCTTATGAAGTTCAAGCAATTTATGAAATCTATATTGCTTGAACTTCAGTCTCCCTTTCTATACAATCATACTCTTATCAATATAAACATCTTAGCTATCCATTACATTGCAATAACACACCTCCAGTTACCAAGGGTGATGCTTCAAAGATTCATGGAGTTAGACTACTAAATCTACACATGTAGGAGACGGTGGTCAAAGTTAGACCCACATTTTATTTTTTTACTTGTATATTTTCTGTTTTGTATTTTTACAAAATGAGTTCTTGGATAAGTTTTCTAATATTTTGCATGACTCAGTTTAACTCATAATATATCAGACTTTCCAAATAAATTATTTGTAAAAAGTCTCATAAACACCATAGGAGAAAAAGATTGCCTAAGTTGGGCTCCTTTTAAGAATAAAAGGAAAATTACAGGAAAACATAAAGTAAAAAAAAAAACAGTAAAATATTTTGTTTAATGTAATT